CCATTGATCCTGACTCACTGCTGGTATGTTCCACTGTTTTTCATTTATCATTCAGATGTTTAGACATTTTTTGTTCACTGATGACTATGAGCTCATATTTGCAACCACCGCGAGGGTACATGGAGGAGGTGGTTGGACTGGTGGCCACACTCGAGGGCATGGTCTTGCGTAGGGAGGCACAGTTGTCTGTCGCGGGCATTCAGGTACCCTTCAGTTTTCTGGCATTTATCATACTTCTGATGACATGCTGATTTCTACTGCATCGATAGACTACTTGTGTAGAGCACATCTGACACACACCCCACTTGGACACTGCATTTACATGCACCCACTTCATGTAGCCTTTGCTTGTATCTGCGTCTGATGTATATATTTGGACTGATGTACTTGAATTGAACTTTTTGTTTTCAGATGCCTTCATGGTCCGGTCAGCCGCAGGCCAGGCCACCCGGGCCTCCTTGGGGAGCTGGGCCATCTGGGCCTTTTCAGGGGGCGGGGCCATCTCGGCCTTCCAGAGGAGCCGGGCCTTCTAGGCCTTTTCGGGGAGCTCGAGGAGGGCCTGTCCGCAGACGCAGGGCTCACGTTGTGGAGGTGGAGCCTGATGAGGAGGAGGAGGATGCTGAGGAGGAGGAGGAGGAGGCTACCGACCGTCAGTCAGAGACATCTGCTGAGGAGGGGGGCTCCGGTCTTGGTTCGGGGAACAGAGGCGAGGCTGAGGGGGATCCTGAGGATGACAGCTCCGACTCAGATGATGATGATGGTGCAGAGGTTGTCCCGCAGAAGAGGATGAGGAGTGCTTCTCGTTCCCGTTCCCGAGGACATTGATGCTGTTATTTCCTGCTTTATTTTTCTTTTTGCTAGTAGTTTGTAGCACTTTGCACATTGTTAGGCAGTCTTATTCTTTGTAAAACTTGTACCTTTGTTTGTTGTAAAGCATGATGGAATGAAATAGCTTTTGAAAAGGTGTTTGTATTTTAAACTTTTAGCATCGTATCGCATCATTTATTTTGCACAAGAATGAAATGAATTTGAATGGGAGTGTGAAAAGGTGTTTGTATTTTAAACTTTTAGCATCGTATCGCATCAATTTATTTCGCACAAAAATGAAATTGAATTTGAATGGGAGTGCACATTGTGTAATCACCAAGTCAGGTAGTGAACCGACGCAACAAACTAAGCAACTCAACCTACTAAGATATAGCAGGACCTTAGGAAGTTTACAACTCGATAAGAAAAATGCAACAACGTTGACAACGCAAATAAACAAAACTTTAAACAAAGATTGCTTAAACAGAGCGCAATGACTCAAAAACACGAAACACGTCCGCTCGACAAACAACTCGATAAGCAAAACAACAACTCGATAAACAAACTCAGCAACAACAGAGCGTACTTCTAATGATCTGGGCACCGGAACGCATCCGAAACAGAGGGAAATGAAGGCCTTTGACTCTTCCGTTGCATGGAAATGCTTGGAACTCTCCCTCGAAGGGTTAAACAGGGCCAAGGAGATACACTGCAGCATTGCCGGCCATC